CATCATTGGTGTCAGTGGGAGGAATAGTGCTCCATCATTGGTGTCAGTGGGAGGAATAGCGGCCCATCATTGGTGTCAGTGGGAGGAATAGCGCCCATCATTGGTGTCAGTGGGAGGAATAGCGGCCCATCATTGGTGTCAGTGGGAGGAATAGCGCCCCATCATTGGTGTCAGTGGCAGGAATTGCGCCCCATCATTGGTGTCAGTGGGAGGAATAGCGCCCCATCATTGGTGTCAGTGGCAGGAATTGCGCCCCATCATTGGTGTCAGTGGGAGGAATTGCGCCCCATCGTTGGTATCAGTGGGGAGAATAGTGCCCCATCGTTTGTGTCAGTGGGGAGGAATAGTGCCCCATCGTTGGTGTCAGTGGGGAGGAGAAGTAGTGCCCCATCGTTGGTGTCAGTGGGGAGGAGAAGTAGTGCCCCATCACTGTATCAGTGCCCCATCACTGGTATCAGTGGGGGGAATAGTGCCCCATCATTGGTATCAGTGGGAGGAATAGTGCCCCATCGTAGGTGTCAGTGGGAGGAATAGTGCCCCATCGTTGGTATCAGTGGGGAGTTCCCCAATAGTAGCCCCATCGTTGGTGTCAGTGGGGGAGGAATAGCGCCCCATCATTGGTGTCAGTGGGGGAGGAATAGCGCCCCATCATTGGTGTCAGTGGGGGAGGAATAGTGCCCCATCATTGGTATCAGTGGGGAGAATCGTGCCTCATCATTGGTGTCAGTGGGGAGGAGGAATAGTGCCCCATCATTGGTATCAGTGGGGAGGAGGAATAGTGCCCCATCATTGGTATCAGTGGGGGAGGAATAGTGCCTCATCGTTGGTGTCAGTGGGGAGGAGGAATAGTGCCCCATCATTGGTATCAGTGGGGGAGGAACAGTGCCTCATCGTTGGTGTCAGTGGGGGAGGAACAGTGCCTCATCGTTGGTGTCAGTGGGGGAGGAACAGTGCCTCATCGTTGGTGTCAGTGTGGAGGAGGAATAGTGCCCCATCGTTAGTGTCAGTGGGGGAGAGGAGCAGCTGCTCCTTCTTCCAGTTCGGCCGCTCGATTTTCGCGGGGCCGCTCGTCTCCGCCTCCTCGACGGTGATTGGTCGCCTGTGTGCCTTTCCAGTGCTGGCGCCCAATTACCGGTGAGGAGGCGGAGCCGAGCGGCCGCGTGACCATCGAGAGGCCGAACTGAAAGAAGGAGCAGCCGCGCTTCCTGGACCGGGATCGTCGTGGGACCGGAGCCAGGTAAGGTACAGCAGCCCCTCTGCCCACCCCTGTACTTAGTGTCCGTTGGAGGAGGAGGGGGGGCGGCGCCGCGCCACCCCTCGAAAAAGTGCCGCCCTGACACCGGCTCGCACCGGCGTATAAGACGACCCCCGAATTTTCAGCAGATTTTCAGGGGTTGAAAAGTCGTCTTATACGCCGGAAAATACGGTACATGGTACAGCAGGTACATATCAAGAATATGAAATGTTGGTTTACGCATTCTGTATTCTTCTGCTGTATTGGCAAGTCGGGTTGGTAGTAACACTGCATCTAAAAAAAGTTTTGTTGGTGCAGATTTATTATTTAAGTGTGGTTAATATACAGCTGCTTGGGCCACAGGTGTCTGCCAATGCTATGGATGAAAATATATCAAAAGCATCAAAAATAAAGTAGCAAAAGAATAAATAAATAGGATGATCAAATGTAACAAATTATTTTATTTAGAGTCTATAACCAACTGTATCAACCTTAAAGGATAAGTTCACCTTTTGTAACGTATAACATGTTACATGTTACACCCATATGCAGGGTGTAGCATGTAAAATGTTACAATTCTTCCACCCCCCCCAAGTACCTGTTTTGACAGCGAGCAGTGGATCTTCTCCCCCCATCTGACTGCCACAATCTAAAGAAAACATGGCCATGCGGGGCTCCACCTGTCCCTGGGAGTTCTGGGCCGCCACATCCATTCACTGTGTTTTTCAGTGAATCGAAAAACAACATGTCCCGACAGCCTTTACAGCTGTCAGCTTATAGTTCTAAATGAACTACCATGTCTCTGTTGAGCACTGTGATAGTTCATTCTCTCTTCCTGTCTGTGTATATCTGCTGCCCCTATGAAGTACAAGCAGACAGATACACTGACAAGTTTGCGGGAGTTCTGTTTCATGGTACACGTGATCTGCTGACTGACAAGTTTGCGTGGGTGCAATGCTTTACAGGTTCCAAGTAAAAAAAAAAAATAAATGCACATTTTTACCTGCACAAAGATGTGCATTTATTATTTTTTTACAAAGGTGAACTTATGCTTAAATAAAAACATTTTCTTCCTACTGCTCCCTTTGGCGCTCTGTTATCTGTTGTAATTTAAGTCTTCTGGTGTATGTCAGGCCTTAGTAAACTGCCCCTGCATAGCTGCTAATTTAAACTAAAATAAAGATTTTAACTAGAAGGATTTAATGTTTTACTTCAAATGGGTATACCACGAATAATCATTAGTGTCACAGTCTGAGCCGAAACTTTCTTGCAATGTGTCATTATTGTTCCATGTACCTTTTAACGGGAAACACCAGCTCTAAAGTTTTCCATCTGTTTCCCTGTGTATGTAATGTCAGAGCAGAGGGCTGTTACAATGATCAGGATTCTATAGTGAATGCTGGGAATGCTTGAAACCTCTCAGAAGCATTATGGATATGATCTGCACCCTGAAATGGGCTGCTCACACTCTAATGGTTGTACATACATATTTATATCTATCAACATTATACAGATGTTAAAAAGATTAACACTCTACAGTTATGACAATTAGTTGAAATTCATTTACTAATATGCTATGTCTTTTTAAAGTGTGCTGGCACCTACATTCTACTTCCCTAACAAATTGGAAAAAATACTCTCAGAGAATATTACAACACAAGCTTGGGAAAAGCTTACAAATCCACCCGGTGTACCTCCCATTGGGAGTTATATCTGAAAATCCTCCACCAATGGTATCTCACCGCGGTTAAACTCTCGATCTATTATCCAAACCACTCTTCCTCTTGCTAGAGACAATGTGGTGAAATAGGCTCCACTCTACACATCCTGTGGCACTGTAAATCACTTAGATCATATTGGAATAGCGTTTTCAAACTGATCTCTGAAATATCTGGAACCATGATTACCCCAAACCCCTCCTTAGCGCTCCTGCATATAGGAAATTAAAAATTTCCAATTGACCCCCGAAATATTATCACTCACATACTTTTCGCAGCGAAAATTAACATCACTAGACTATGGAACACCACCAATACTCCTTCTCTTACATCCCTGATTCGAGATCTCAATTTCCAATGTGACATGGAAATGAGGTCATTTTCAAATAACTTCTCCCAACATAAGTTCACCCCTCAATGGGCTCGTTGGTTACAACACTTAAAATGCACCATACAACTTTGATTAAAAATCCACATACACACATATGACCCATTAACCAAACCCACCCCAAGCTGGTACCTCCGCCCCTACCAAGTTATTCCCCCTCCCCACCCCCCCTATTTTTCCTCTGTTTTAATACTTTCTCAACTGCCTCATTCACTAGTTCAACACATTTGTTAGGATACCTCTGATGTTACTGTTATCTATACTTCTACAAACCCCCCCATTACTTGGAGGGGTTCAGTATGCTTGTTTAATTTTTACTATGACATCTTTCTCATTCTGTCCTCTTGTTGAACCATTTAACATCTTCTGTTATGTTTGTTAAAACGTCAATAAAAATATTGAACATAAAGTGTGCTGGCATGTGGCAGTGATAGGGCTGGTATATTTTTTACTGAATGTTTCTACCAATTAACCTCTTCATGTCCGGACACTTTTACCCCCTTCCTGTCCAGGCCAATTTTCAGCTTTCAGTGCTATCACACTTTGAATGGCAATTGCGTGGTCATGCAACACTGTACCCATATGATTTGTTTAGCAATTTTTTGAGACCGATAAAACTTTATTTTGGTGGTATTTATTCACCACTGGTATTTTTTTTTTTTGTTTGCTATATAAATGAAAAAGTCCAAAAAATGTTTTAAAAAGTGTTTTTCTTATAAAATTTTGCAAATAAATAATCTTTCTTCATAAATCTTGGGCAAAATGTATCCAGTTATCTTTTTAGTAAAAAAAATAACCCAAATTAGTTTATAACCAAAAATTATAATTTTTCAAAAAAAAGTTTTTTACATTTTTTTTTTTTTTTTTTATATTATGTTTTTTTTTAACATACTGTCACGGTGTAAGGTCAGGTTCAGAGACCAGTTGCTATAGCAGTAAAAGGCTTACCTGGAACCAGCAGGATAGGTACACCAGCGGATCCCCCTGGGAATGACGCAGGCTCACCTGAGGTGCGGGGTCTAAGTATTAACCGGTATTCACCAGAGCTCCTAATGGTGGAGATGGATTGAGCTGCGTGTTAATACCAGGTCGCAGATCTCAGGATCACCCCACCAGGGAATGAGCAGACTGGGAACCAATAGCGGATCAACAGGTTAGGGATCAGACGAAAGCAGAGTCGGTCACAAGCCAAAGGGTCGGTCACAAATGGTAGCAGATCAATCGTGGTCAGGAACAAGCCAAAGGTCAGTAGCGGAGGTGTAGACAGCAGCAGGAACAGTAGCAGGATATTGGCTGGAAAGGCACAATAATCTGGCAAGGAGGAAGTCCAAGGACATGGCTTATATAGGAAGTTCATGGGAGGAGCAAGGAGTTCAAGGTTCAAGAGCAAACAAGGCACAAGGCAGGATTATCCAATAGATGAGGCAAAGTGTTGTCCAGCATCCTAGGTAGCTCAGTGAGTAGAGTTACTGCCTGACACAGTAGAAGTCCCAGGTTCAAGTCCAGGCCCTGACACATACTGTCACCCTAGTGACACTGCACTACTTCTGGGGGGGTGAAGATTTTTTTTTTACACTGATTGCTTTTACACCCATAAAGGCTGTAAAAGCAATAATTTCTCCTTCTCTCTGACTGCATTCTTGCAGCCATTGAGAAATACTGTGTGAGCTGTGATTGGTCACAGCTTGTCACATGGTACAAGGCTGTTGTGAATAGCCTTGTACCATGTGACCTCTGTGATCATTCACAGATTTCACACGTAGTAAACAATGATGTCAGAAGTGAAATCTTGCTTACTACTATTCATGTGATCACTGATTGGCCAATCAATGATCACATGATCGGGACCTCACACAGAGGTCCCGTACAGTGATCGGTGTTCCCAGGGAGCGCGAACAGTCCAAAATGACGGGCGCCGTTTATGAACGCCAAACCCACTCCTGCACTGCCCCCATCCGGCTGTTTATATACATGGGCCAGACGGGAAGTGGTTAATAAGCCTATACTATTCAGAACTGATCCATTTATATTTCTTGAATTAAAGACACAACTAGCGAATTAAAGACACAACTAGAAGCTAGCGTTTTTTTTTGGTAGAACAAAACTTTCTTTGTTACTTCAACCTAGCTAGCAAATTTGTTCTGTGTGTACTTGTCTGTAGCCAGGGGCAGACTGACAACTCATGGGGCCCCTGGGCAATAGGGGATCATGGGGCCCCTGTGTTCTTGCCCAAACTCAGAAAAGCCTATGAAAAAGGTACCAGGGGCATCTCATGGGGCCCGCTACTGACCCCGGGCCCTCGGGCAGTGCCCGAGTTTCCAAATGGTCAGTCCTCCCCTGTCTGCAGCGCATGCACAGTGTACACTACCAGCATCTGTAAGGTACTCTGTATTGAAGCTAGGTCCTTGGATGATGTTATTCCAGAGCTCATGCATCCAATAGCTGAACAGAGAAGACACCAGGCCGAAAGATGACAAGTAGAAAATGGCGCAGCAGTGGATAGAATGATGAGGACCAGCACAGACCTCTTAACACTGGAGAAGGATATCCCTAGGGGTTGGGTGTGCACTTCATGATAACATAATGATGTGATGTATTGAATAAATATTGGAATTGAATCCACCTGACAAATTCATTTTATGCAATATTCTCTGCAAAGTTTAACTGTTTTGTTTCTTGATGTGTAGGTGTCCTTTCCCAAAAAGCATCAGAAAAAGAAACTAATTCTTGCTGAAAAAGTCAATGAACAGTTGACTGCCCTGGAACAAAATCTTCTAAAGTTGACACAACCAGGTAAGTTATTTCTACCTAAACTACGGTGCTTTGTTAAATACAAACATGCAGGCCTATTTAAGAATGCACCTTAAACAACAGTGACTGTGTATAATGAGGTAACCCATGGAAACTGGATTTACAGTATACTGTAATATGAGTATCTGATTTTTTTAGTTCAAGTTTAATATGCATCAATACTTAAAGTGGAATCCATTTTTTGAATAGGGTTAAACCCTCAATGTTTTTTTCTTCTTTTTTCTGTCTGATTTTTGTTGGGGAGAGCCCTTTCAATTTCTTTTTTATCTGCCTGTCACCAGATCCATATACAAAGTAATATATTTGTGGGCTGTTAGTTGTGTCTGATACCCCATAAGGAAAATTCCTTTGAAGTTTCTGTTGAAGTTGATAGAAAAAACAGAGTGTAACAATTGGCAAAAGTTTAATTTCCCCTTTGGGAGATCTTGCCTTTTGTTGTGTCTCTGGGACTAGAAATAAGAAAAAAACTTCTAGTGGGGATACAACAATGAAAACCTTACTCAAACCTTAACTCTATCTTAGATTCTACATTAGAGTGTATTTTTTAATGTCATAGGGAATGGTTTAAAACCCGTCACCTGTTTCCTGTTAAGGAGATTTCCCTTTATTTCCTAACTGGAATCAAGAGGAAATCTAACCAAAGTGACTGGAAATCCTTTACGGAAAGCTTAAGCCTGGTACACACAGGTAGTTCTTTTTCTGTTCAACCCAGTGGGCTGCATGAAAAAAAAACAATTCAGCTTGCTGTACTAGTACTAGCTTGCTGTGTTGGTACAGTGATCACCAGTCATTGGCTATTGGCTGCAAGCGCTGATCAGATGTCAATCAACTGCTGGTTTTACAGCATGCCTGTTTGACAAAAGCTGGACAGACTGTTATAACACACTGGCTGAATGTCGACTGGTTTCTATTGAACCGGCCATTATGTGGCCCATGTGTACCAGCTTTTACACTTAAGCTGGCCATACACAGTTTGAATCCCATCTGGTTCAGCAGGGACTGGCCGAGATTTTAACCATGTATGGGTAGGCATAGGCTGAATATACCCAAGTTGATCGCTCGGTTCAACTTCAATACAATCAGCTTGTTGGATTTTTCATGTGGTTATTGCTAGCAGCTATCATAGCTGCTAGCATTAATCACTGTGTCCTCCTGGGGGGGGGGGGGGCGGGCTCCCCCCCGTCAGGAGAACACAAAAGCTCAGTAGGGAGGATTTCCCCCATCAACACTGACTGCGTTGGTGGGGGAATCGAGTGATCCGTCTATAGCCGACCTTACCGCAGGGCACTCGCTCTCAGCACATATGGTTTTGTTACAAGAACGCAAATGTTCGGCTGCTCGGCATCTAGGCCCAGACGCCGGGAGGCCGCACATTTGCATGCGGCCGGCGCAAAGGGGTTAATACTGAGTTTATTACTAGTTCTAAAACAGTTCTGTGAGGTGACTGGTTTCCCTGAGTCCATATAATTTATGTTGAGCGAGCCCTGATGAAGTGGCAGTGATGTTGTCCCTGAAACAAGCTGTCATTTTTTATATCACTTTTTTGATCAACAATAAAATTATCTTGGAATCTTTTATATGATTTTGGCCTTGTGCTTCTCTCTGTATTTTTATACTTTGATGGGTTAAGTTATGCTCTAATTGTGAGAAAGGGCACCTGATGAGTTGGAGACCTGCTCAGTTGAGAGATATACACTATATTGCCAAAAGTATTGGGACACCCCTCCAAATCATAGGAATCAGGTGTTCCAATAACCTCTATGGCCACAGATGTATAAAATCAAGCACCTAAGCATGCAGACTGCTTCTACAGTCATTTGTGAAAGAATGGGTCACTCTCAGGAGCTCAGTGAATTCAAGCGTGCTACCGTGATAGGTTTCCACCTGTGCAATAAGTCCATCCGTGAAATTTCCTTGCTACTAAATATTCCATGGTCAACTGTTAGTGGTAATATAACAAAGTGAAAGCAACTGGGAACAACAGCAACTCAGCCACCAAATGGTAGGCCATGTAGAATGACAGAGCAGGGTCAGCGCATGCTAAAGCGCACAGTTCACAGAAATCGCCAACTGTGTGTAGAGTCAATAGCTAATGACCTCCAAACTTCATGTGGCCTTCAGATTAGCACAACAATAGTGCAGAGAGAGCTTCATGGAATGGGTTTCCATGGCCGAGCAGCTGCATCCAAGCCTTACATCACCAAGTGCAATGCAAAGTGTCGGATGCAGTGATGTAAAGCATGCCACCACTGGACTCTAGAGCAGTGGAGACATGTTCTCTAGAGTGATGAATCACGCTTCTCTGTCTGATGGACATGCGTGAGTTTTACGGTTACCAAGAGAATGATACTTGCCTGACTGCATTGTGCCAGGTGTAAAGTTTGGTGGAAGGGGGGATTATGGTGTGCGGTTGTTTCTCAGGGGTTGGGCTTGGCCCCTTAGTTCCAGAGAAGGGAACTCTTAAGGCACGGGTGTCAAACTGGTGCCCTCCAGCTGTTGCCAAGCTACAATTCCCATGAGGCATTGCAAGATTGATAGTTACAAGTATGACTCCCAAAGGCAGAGGCATGATGGGACTTGTAGTTTTGCAACAGCTGGAGGGCCACCAGTTTGACACTCCTGTCTTAAGGTGTCAGCATACCAAACTAAACTTGGGAGCATGACACACTTGGTTTGTTTCTCCAACTGGAGAATAGAAGAGTGCATCCAGCTCTCTAGTGAGCCCTGCTGTGCACCTAGCTGCAGTATTGTCTGAATTATGGACTTTGTGCATCTACTTCAATGGAAGGACAGTTGACCTGTTAGTACAGAAGATAGAAAACTTTAAGAGTATTTTAAACATCCCTAAGTGTGTTGTACTCTAAATATACCAATATTGAACATTTGGCTTAAAAACAAAGGTATGTGGTAAGAAAAGAGAGAATGAGTGCAGGCTTTCTCAACCTTTTCAACACAGAGGAACCCTTGAAGCAACTTTGCGATCCCAGGGAACCCCTTCTAAAAATTTGTTTTTTTTTTTTATTAAAATCCAAACAACTTTTATTGTGAAAGAAAATTAAAAATGGGAACAATGCTTACAGGATCTTGAAGAAAGGAAGATACAATCAACATGGTATACAGTGTTAAACCATGGATGCACAGATCCAGTGACATATGAAAACCAGAAGCATTAGACATAGCATTGAAATATAAGGAGCCATAACTACCTTGACAATACATAACATAGAAACTATGAATAAATGAAGGGTTTAGTAACACTTTAATACAGAAAGAGTTTGTTGCACACATGTAACAGAGCTGAATATAAATTTTTAGTAATAACTTTCATGAGAACAATGAATACATGTACTTGTGTTAATCTATATGTAGACAGAAATCACTTTCATTATTCCGTAAACAAAGGCAATATTCTGAACATGGGACTCTCCATAATTCCCCTAATTCTATGATCCATTGAATAAACAGCTTTGTACACTGTGTGGCATTAAGAATACTATACTTATATTCTCTGCCAAGCAATTTCTGGCTATAATTTCCCTAATATCCTATATATTCCTAAACAAAGGACAATATCTAACTATGGGGACTCTCCTAAATGTAATTAGCCTAACTTGTGGCAATTAAATTAACAAGTGTATAACTAAATCAATGAGATATGCATCTTAATCAGCTAATTATGCAAGTTGGTTGCTGAAGCATATGATAAATTAATTAAGTCAGTTTACACTCTAGTCATTAAATTATAAAAAAGGGTAGATTTAAATTTTATTGGCATGAGACTGGAAATAACCTTAATATTTTCCTTTCAATAAAGTAAATATAAAACCTTGGCTGTGGTCATATCCCACGATTGTGGTATTTTGAACCAACAAATTGTAATTCATTGCATAAATTTATGTTTGCTTAATGAAATGAAGGCATGCGGTATAAGGTTATTTTATATATTAATTAAATAGGAATATGTAACTGAAATAAAGAACTTGCACATTTGTCTGATGTGTATACATAGACACCAAAGTTTAAGAAGAGCAAATGCTAAAGCTGACAATGGAGTGACAGTTCTTTTGCAACCTTTAGGTGTATCTGACATCTTTGACATATGAAATGAACAAGGGGACATTTACTAAAGCTGGTGCACACAGAATCTGGTGCAGCTGTACATAGTACCCAATCAG